TGGTATTCTATTGAATAGAATACCATTTTCAAGGACAGAGGTAAAGGACCACACGTGTCTGATTTATGAACGTCATCTATTTATAGACGCAGTAGGGCGTTCAGGGTTTATCAAAATCGTCATACGTAGAACCCATTAATTAACTGAATCTAACACTTCTAAGAATAGAAGAAAACGCAAATTTCATTTATATTCGACAGTATATATACAATACATTTCTTACAATAAACATACCAAAAATATAGTTTATCTAAACAAATTAATTTATTGAAAATTAGTAAAATTCCATGATAAAATTATAAAAAAAAAATTATAAATATTTTTTCTCTTCTTCTCGAGGGCATTTGAACTAATTAATTGTTCCATTTTCTGAGAAACTCCCTTTTATTTTGAACTTATTTTCCCTGTACAGAAAATACTAACATTCGATTGTCTGTATGTCTGCTGTGTATGTGTATGTATGTATGTATGTGTCTGTGTGTGTGTACAGTACATATGATGAATGTTAACCAAACCGTGAAATCGTTCTACTTATTTACGATTTTTGTGAAAATGCGTGCTTGTCACATCGTATTTACTTTCACTATCTGTGTAAATGAGTAATACGAATCATTATAAATACCAAAAACAGATTCATTTTCTGATAAAATCATCAAAGATTTTTAGAACTAATTTCTTAAGAGGAAAAACTGGAGGGGAAAAAAAATAACATAGATCCAATACTTATAATTTTACACTTTTGATTAATTGCATACCACTTAATTGTTTTTAAAAATAGACTTGTTAGAAAAAAATTTAGAAACTTCCCACTGAAAAATCTATTATTTTCTTTGATTTGTTTGAATGTAATTGTTTTAAATTCCAACAAATTAAAAAAATCTTAAGTGAAAAATACTTTAAAAACAATTTTCTTGTGCTTAATGATCGTTAAAAGTTAATAAAACATCGTTAAAAACTAATAAAGAGACCGTTATAAACACTTTTTTTTATTATGAAGACACGGTGTTAAATCAATTTTTTAATGTTTTAATTAAACTGTAGAAAATATTTAAACAATTTACACATTTTTCGAATTAATTTTTTAATTTTTACAATAATTTCTTTTACCCAATAAATCACAATTAACGTGTTGAAAAGTTAATTGGATGCGTAAAAAAGAGATTTTTTTTTTTACATTAAATTTTCACTCCGTAAACAATAAATTAATAATAAAAAGTATATTTTATATTGTATTAATTTATAAAAAGTAATTTTTTACAATTAAAGTTATTTTTCTACGCAACAATCACCGAATTTTGTTTAACCAATTGCATCATTTCCATTATTTGTCTAATTGTTACGTAACGAAATTGAACACCGCCAGGAAATTGGCCGTTTTTTCAAATTTGTAACGGTTTTCTCTTTTGAAAATTTAAAAAAAAACGGTTGACCCAATGTTTTTCTTCTTAAAATCTACGTGCAAAATGCAAAATTTTGTAATAAAATTTTATTTTTGCTCGTATTTAATATAACAAAAAAGTAATTACATTCATTTTCTACGCCAAGATCATTTGGCGCTTCGATACTTGAAATGATTAAAATGGGTGTGATAGAAATATTCGACACTACATAAAAATCTAAAAAAAATAATAATAATTAGAATAATTTTATTACATCACCATTCTACCTAAATCCGAGTAATCTGCATCCTTGCACGCGATATTACACAATTTTACACAGTAACTTTCCATAGAAAATGGCGCTTTATCTATCGATGAATACAACAGACGAGTATAGGGAGGAAGGTAGAAACAACACCTCACACCTAATAAAATAGGAATCATGCAAAAGTGAATATCACAATAAACATGAATCATAAAAGAAGAATCATTGCTGATACAGTTGCATTGTTTGCAACGTTATGCATCGATGAATAAAAAATAATCGGGGCAGCGTTAAGATCGGAGCCAGTCTACTTCCGGGTTTAATAATAATAGAAATTACTCGTTAGATGAGTCCCTGTTAACTCTAATGACTAATTATTCTACTGTTGGGCGGAGGGCATAATTACTACATTGTGTATTATTGACACCGATTTTGATATTTTGAATCCATTCTGAGCCTGTTTTTTGGCGAAGTATGAAGGAAAATTGAGCCTTTCTTCCATATACTTGGCATGCTGCAGGCACATGACAAGATACACCAAAAATTTACACATTATGATACCAGTCAGGGGTTGGTTTGAAAGTATAATTTATATCATAAGAATCTATAATCAATTAATACGTGAATAAGTAATGGATGATTTTCAATATAATTGCATATTCTAAAACGGTACATACGCACATAACATACATTTTTATGGCTTAACGGATGCGATAGAATAAAATCTGATATAAAATAAAATTTAATTTAATCGGAAATTGTCATGCCAGCTGTTATATAGGCCTAATCAAAAATTAATTTGGTATTTTTGATTTGTTTACCTCAATTATAATTAACATAAATTTATATTTCGTATTTTATTATTAGTTTTTTTTAATTAAAATTAGTCGTTTCGTATTTCATTTATGACGAATTTCGTTAAGACAAATAGTTTGATTCGAATCGAATTATGCCGAATTTTAAACTATTGATAATTGTTTTGCTAAAATGAATAATTCCGACTTCACCTTCTGTTATATTAGCTATTTTAAAACTTGTTTAAGCCGTCATTTCGACTTTACTCATTGTTTATTGCGAATTTAATTTATTTCAAATACATCTCCGTACAACAACGTAATGATTATATTCCAAAATCATAAATTATACGTTCGTGTTTAACCTTCAAGGATTCTAATTTATATTATTCACTTATTTTCTAATTTGGCTCTCATCCAAACTTTGAGAAAACCAATTGAAAAAAAACACCCTAACTATAAGAACTGCGCATACGTGCGTAAATATATGATTAAATATAGGCCAATTAAAAAAATTCCCGTATGAAATTTTAAGAATAAAATTAAGGAAATTACTTCAATTCTTTGTTTTTATATTTTAAATGTATTTATAATCACCTCGTGGCCAACACGTGACTAGTAACTTACCATCGTCTCCATCTGACTAATATTCTTCGATTAATTTTTAATATATTTATAAGGAAAATAAAAAAAATTACGCCAATAAAAACTTAATAAAATCCCACTTCATATCTTCCGTTTGTTACCTTCTCAGAAGGAACATAAAATAGAAATTTATTGTGTTCTAAGAAAAAATAAACACTTAAAGTATATATTGTCGCCGTGTCTTACGTTTATTTCTAGTAATTAAATAAACTCATTATAAAAAAAAGTAATAATAAAATGACTTTTATCTAATTAAATTTAGTATCCTTATCTATATTTAACTAACGTATATTTACGAATGTTGTCTGTCAGTCACGCTTTATTCATCTGATTCTTTAAGTATTGTTATTGTTTAGAAACGCTTTCGTTATAAATAATAACGACTATAGTTTGAGAAGAAGGAAAATTGGAGAAATGTAAGATAAATATATATATTTTATAGACATAAAATTTGAATTAATTTATATTACTTATAAGGAATATATTTTAAGTGCCAATTAGGTAAAAAAATTTTAATGTTTAAAGATTTTTATATAGGAAAAATAAGGATTTATAAGTCCTTATTTGTATAATATAAGCCTTTAACTGTCTTTTAACATTCAATATGAATGACAAATAGGAAGAGAAATATACAAATGACCTCTATATTCATCAACTATTTAATCATATTCATTTTCTTCGATTTCCTCTTCACTTATCTGGTCTTATCGTTAAAGATACAGAGATTTATTTTAATATATTAAAAACTAAATTACACTGGAACCGTTTCGATAGTGAAAGTGCAAAGTGTCGAGACGAAACCATTATGAAGAGAAAGTAAAAACTTTAACCTAGAATCTAAGTTTCGACCTTGTTACTAAGACCCATTCGTGACCTTATTATCTATTTTTACGTTTCTAACAATGCATTTATAAAGGAACAAACCCAAAAAACCCAGATAAATGTGTGAAGTTTACGTTAAAACTATGTAAATTTTGTTTACGCAGATTTTATATTTTCATAAGAAAACGGGTTATAAATAAAAAAAAAATTAAACAATGTATATAAATTAGAAATTAAATTACAAAGCGACGGTCGAACCTCCACCTCTAAACGAAGGCCATGTTTTATTTTCCAGTAACCTCTCTTGTACAAAATTACCTTCAAACAACGGCCATTGTTATGTTGATTTTATGTCTTGATTTATATGTAAAAAATCAGTGAAAGTATTAGAGAATTTATACCAAAATTACCTTTAATTTCGTTTAAATATGTGTCTTTTAATAACTTAAAAATAATATATAGAACAATTACTAAAACATTTTAAAGAATTTCATTAGTTTTTATAAATAATATTTATTTATTATTTGAGAAATTACATACACAATAGTATCCAATATATAAAAATTCGTCTCTACAGTAATTTATATTCACTTCTTGCAATTATTCAAAGCATCACACGAAGATCTAAAAATAAAAATATCAGATATAAAAATTAACAACTCAATTATAATAATTATGATTATTAATTTTAAAGAAATTACAAATAAATAAAATCAAAATTTATTATAAATTAAAATTAAACTTTAAAATATTTATATATATTCCCTTGTTAAAATGAGGAAAACTTAAAAAAATTACCCGAAATTTTAATAAGAAAACACACAAAAATCAACTTACGTCTTTAGGTGGTTCCCCTCATCCACTTTTGACACAAAAATTTCCCAATTTATCAATTCCTAACATTTAATCTGACTCAAAATTCCTTACTACAAACGTAAAAGACCACGTATTGTTCTTAATTATTGGTTTAATTGTATATATTACACTTAATAATTTACAAATAATTTTGATTTCGACACTCGTATGTACGAGAGTGATGGCATACGATTGTGCAATTTTGAATTTTTGTTTATGACTTTTGAATAAGAGGGAAATCACCAATCAGATTTTCTGTCTATATTAGAGTGTTACATATGAGGCCCTGTATTTATTTGTCCAATGGTTTGGGATATTCGAGAAGCCAAACAGGTTTCAAGACCTTGGCATTAGGAAACGGCTAGCTTATAACAACTTCTAATCTTGAAAGTGTAGTTGGCTCTTAAACTTAAGATCTGTAAGTACAGTATACCACTTTCATTATATATATAATTTTACGTAAAGTATTATTATAATTACTTTATATTCTTAATTATTTTATAAATTAGAATTAAATATTAAGCTTTTAATTTTCGTTAAAATTTAGAAATTTTACGAATTTTTATTTCATTTTAATTATCCATCTGACTAATATTCTTCGATTAATTTTTAATATATTTATAAGGAAAATAAAAAAAATTACGCCAATAAAAACTTAATAAAATCCCACTTCATATCTTCCGTTTGTTACCTTCTCAGAAGGAACATAAAATAGAAATTTATTGTGTTCTAAGANAGATATGAATTTTTAATGGTGTTTAATTTAAAATAATTCGAATAAAATAAAATATTTTTGGAGGTACAAATTAAGAAATTTAATCATTTATAATTTAGAAAATTGACGAGTAAATTTTATAAATATTCAATGATAAAACAGTCGTGAAAGCCTTCAACCATACAAAATCGATGCACCTATACCACTATAATAATAATATTTATCGATACGTTTATCCTTAAAGGATAAGTACGATGAATAATTCCTATTTTTTTTTTCAATGCTAAACATCACAGGAACATAAATTTAGAATATTATTTTAAAATAATTTAGGGGAAAAAAAAATAGTAGTTTTCGTGTGATAATGCATGGAGCAACCAGGGTCGAGGGCAACCTCATTCAATTAAAATTATGACTCAGCTTTGACCTGAATATACCTTATAATTTTATTACAGATGTAATTGTAATTACGTATATAATACGTTAAATAAATTACCTAAAAACCGATAAAATTTTAGTATATTTTAAGCTTTAATTACGTGATATTTTAATGCAATTAATTGTGATTAATTATCATTAAACTATTCGTGTTAAAGTCTTGTTTGTATGCAGACCAGAATACAAATAAATTTAGAATTAAAAAAAAAAAAAAAGGTATTTGGTAGAAAAAAAAAATAATCGTTCTATTTTTAGGCCTATATATATTGCTATTTTTAATTTATTTCATTAATAATTTATATTGTATTTTTTAAAATTAATATTTAAATAATTTTGTAGACAAGTATCACGAGATGATTAAATATTTTTAACATAGAATTAATAAATTTTAAATTACGTGAAAAATTCATGTATTATTTATGAAATTATTTAGCAGATTTTTAACATGTAAACCTAAAATTCCCCTTACAAATTATATAGAATAATTAGAACTTATTCAAATAATTTTTTTTAACATTTTAAGAAACTTCTCTGCACCACAATTTTAAAAAAACTAGATTTACAACAATCTCAATTCTAAAAAATTCATTCTAAAATACCCAACTTTTGAGAATTTCAATAAACAGAAGTATTTTAGAACCTTTTCCTGATAATTTTCTAACATTTATCATTAAAATTTTCATTAAAAGTTATCTTAAAACGTTCAAATTTTAAATTCGTAAATATCTGACACTCACTTTCTTCACTAATTTTAACAAAAATTATTATAAAAACCCGAATATTTAAGAAAATTCGATAAAGGAAGAATTCTTAAACATTCTTCTATCATTTTTCTACCTTTTATCATTAAAATTTCCATTCAAAATCACTCGGAAACGTTAGTAAATAACAAGAGACGAAACGAATATCTCTGATTAATTCTTAAAACTTATCATCTTAAATATTAAATTTTCGATAGAGGAATTAAGCTATTAAAATTAATATTAGGCAACCTTTGGTATAACATAAGTGAGTGAATTGTTACTTCTATGAACTACTTCATACAACTTGTTAGCAAATAGTAATCGAAGAATAGAAGATATTCTATTATTGATACCGTATGTGGACTATATTATGAATGATAATACAATATCGTGCTTAGCATCGAGTCATTATCAGATAAACAAAGACATAAAGTAGGTTATCATAAATTATTCTTGATGATGAGTACTTCCGAGTGTATTTGTTCCAGTTCGATATTTTACTAAAGTAAACGTAAAATAAAATAAAATAAAAACAAAAAAAATCATATTTTAATAGAATTTTTCAAGATTTAATATAAAAATATTTACTTCGTTCTGTTTTATTCTACACTCCAATTGTTAAATTTTAATTGTGTTGGGGTATTATTCTTATTGTTGTTATTATTATTTTTTTTACGCTTCGAAAGTTGTGAAATTTGTAATTAAAATCCCTAAAAAAAAATCCCTAAAATTTTACGTGTTATTACACAATTGCGTTCCCATTTTTACTCAAATGTTACAATGTCAAATGTTACTGCGTACGCTGGGTGTAAGTTGACTGTTAGCATTTGTTTAATTATTATTAGAGGTAATTACAATTAAAGATTTTATATTGGTTTATTCGAATTTTAAACGATTGAAATATTCAGTTCATTCGGTTTTTAAGTGTCGATAATTATATTTTCGACGTTAGTTTTGGTCCATTTTTTAGTGATTGTTGGATTATTAAACACAACAATGATCCACTTGAATTAACGGTCATGGTGGAATGCATTTGATCCATTTTTTCTTCTTTTTTCTTTGTAAAATGTTCAAACTTCCGTTAAAGATGATTTCATTTCTTTCTAATAACAAAATTCTAACACAGAATTTATTCTTCTCCGTTGTTATAACTATTTAAGGTCCACTTTAAATGAATTTTTAAACGCTTTAAAGCTAAAATACAATCTAAGTTTTAATAAAATTTAAAATTTTAAAAAATAATTACATTTTTCATCCGTTTACTTCATTAAAATTAATTTAAAAATACAAAATTTTTTGTAAATTTTTTACACAGTTTGTTTTTTTTTTTTTTTTTTATTTTAAAAATGAAAGTTTAACATTATTAATTAATTATTAAACGGAGGCATTTATATATCTTTAAATAAAATAATTTAGCTGATCAATGACGCATTGAAGGTACATTTTCCAACAATGAAATGGCCAGAAAGCACCCTACAAAAGTACCCAGCGAACACAATGAAACTTAACAATACTTTAGAACAATTTAGTTTTATCTAAACCAATTGACAGCACATAAATATAATATTTTATAAGTCAAACTTACAAAAAAATAATGTTATCACTTAATGAGTATTAATAAAATAACGATAAACAAAAGTACTGTACACAATAATAACCATAACTCATCTTGATTTGGCTGATTTCCAGGATTTCAACTCTTTTTTTTTTTTCTTTTCTTTTATCATTATTTTCCTTAAAATTTTATGCAAATTTATAATTCTATACTTTCAACCATTTAAAATTGATATTTTAAGTGAATATATGGGTTAGACGTGTCGAAAATAACGAAAAAATACAAGCGAGGAAGGCTCTACAATGCTCGATTGCTTACCACTTAATCGAAAAATCTAAGGGTGTAAAAACTAGAAAATCAGAAAATTTAACGGTGGAAGTGTTAATTTATCGAAATATTTTGGATATAAGGGCGAGAAAATTATATAGGGTGACGTTATAAAAGATGAAAAAGTCACTTAATTGTTAAACCAGTATGCCAAGGTCAAGAAAGAATAGAAATACTGATGTTTGATAGGTAAGTACTAACCCCCTTTTTAAAAGAAAATATCAAGAGTACTGTAAAGTAGTTTATAAGGAAGTGAAAGAAAAAATTGAAACAGCCTGGAGTGGTTCGAGTTCCATTAAGAAAACCTGCTTCCACGTGACCTAATTTTCGTACCTGTTCCACTGTTATAGAAGGTAGAATTCACTTTCGGATGGTGAAAGTGTTATTTTATCCAATACTGTCTCAACATAACAAGGAATGATTTTAATAATTTAATTATGTGCTGTTTTGTGTACATAACATTGTGGAAATTTTATGTTAGGTGTGATCCTTTATCTATTAAATGGAATGCGGTAAGTGGTTGATTTTTTTTCATTACGTGTATATTTTTTTTTTCTTCTCTCATTTAAATCTACGTTTGACCCAAAATCATTTAAATAGTTAACGTTTTATTTTAAGAACTGACCAAAATATGTAGTGGGGTGTACTTATACGGTACAGATTTTACTTTCTACGTAAGTTTTAAGGGGGAAATACGTATGTAAAGTGTAGATACGACGCCCCATACGGTTGTTTCTACGTGTAATTCTTACGTGATGTAATCTATGTTTGAGGAAATTTAAAATATATCAATACGTAAAATTAAAAAAACAAGAGAAAAAAAAAGGGAAAATTTGACAAGTGGAGTGCATTACAAGCGACTTTAGAGTATTAAGTGCATGTGCACTTTCTTAACCCATTAAACGTGAACATTTTAGGTTAGAAAACTTTTTGCCATCTTCAATTACTTACGTAAAATTAACGTAATTTATCTTTAGATAATAAAATTTACTTCAAATTTATTTATAAATACAACCAGAACTTTGTTTAGAAGTTGATAAACATGTACTTTGTTGTCATACCCGATATTTATATACCTATAATTATTTACTTCCCTTTACGTAAAGATTAAATAATTGTCAAATAAATAAATGTTTTTATAAACTTATTTTATATCGAAGAATTAAGATAACCTGTAAATTTATGCCCTAGATTTTAAGGGAATTTTTATATAGAAACTAGAAAACCAATAGGTCAGGGTGTCTGGACCTAAATCTCTTTCGACTGAGAGTCACACGATAAAACGACCCATTAATATTGAAAATTCTTTTGTATGATCAATACTAATTAAACCCTAATTAGGGAGAAATTACACGAGTTACTTTATATATAACTTGTAGATAGTTTGTAAGATAGTAAGGATGTAAAAATATACGCATTAATTAACCAGTAAAAAATTATAATCGTACGTCATAGTTGATCTGTGTCAATAGGGGCACGTTCCGATGCTTACAAGCCCCAAAAGATCCCTAAATATTAACGTTAGGACCTTAGTAAACCAACGGCCTTTACCAGAGAAGGCATTGACCCCATCTCATATAGTTTTAGGGTCTTATCATCAATCTTACATGCTACTTATTACCGGTATGCTTTTGGTGACGTAACGAGAATGTAACGTGCACTGAGTCATGAAAGGAAGGAACTACCACATTTACAAAGGCTCTTAATTACAGTTACGTAATAATATCCATTTATTACTTAAATGTACACTTTATTATTTCGTATAATCGACGATAAATGCAATTTAAATAATTCAAATTACATGCGAATGACATACAAAATTTCGTATAAACTATCCATGTATATCCGTTATATAACATGCCCCGGAGTGGAATGACCCATTCTTAAGCAGGGAGAGACGTGAGAGATAAAGTTATTCCCATACTTTACTCGTATCCCTATTTAAATTGATCGATTGAAAAGATATAACACTCAAAAAATAGGATACAAAGTCCTATTTAAACCTGTCAAATAATGTCCATGGCCTTAATGGATTTCAGTTATTCATCCCGATTTGTTTACATTCTCGTTACCTTTAACTTGAGTTTAATTCGAATTTATTGATATAATCCCTTTTGTTTTATTTGTGACGTTTTGTATTATCTGGACATTTTCCTTGACAAAATAGAATTAATTTAAATATTCGATCCTATACTTGACCAGTATCCAAGTGTACGAAAACAATACGAATTTTAATCATGTGTAATGAAATTTAAACGCGTTTAAAGCGTAATTACAATTAAAACATTACATTTATCACAATTTACGTGTACAACATTTTATAACACACGTAGTTTTTTTAATTTTAATTTTTAAAAATAGCGATGCCTCCAGGGATAATGATTATAAAGAATAGCAGCTGTAACTATAGACATAATAATGGAACAATCACTTTATTTTAAGACTTATATTTTAGATTATTATCAATATTTGATAGGTATTCTTTTTTCTACGTTTTAAATTAAATATACGTAGGATCTTAAAACTTCGTTTTAGGGAACTTTTTGGAAATTAATTCCCTAAACTCTGGAATCAAAGTGAAAGTGAATGTCTAATGATGATATTTTGTGTCCTTATCCTTTAGATTAACCTTACTCCACCTACTCCTGTACAAATTTCACCTTTCCTTCCTTCAAAAAAACGTATTCATTACTTCCTGCCTCGTGAAATTCCATGTTTATTTTCCTTTTCCTACTGCTGATTGGGGGGAAAGGAAAACGTAATAAACATAAAACATCTTCACTACTGGAAACCTTGTATAAAGAATCTATTAATTTGTAAGGAAATATCACGTAAAAATAACAAAAATTTCTATATTTTTAATGGAGTTTAAGTGTATTTTTATACACTTATAAACGTACAAAAGCGTAGGGTTTAGTGTATGTAATTAAACCAGATTTACCAGTTTAACATAAATGGAATTTTAGGATTTGTTAAGTTTATACTTTAAATTATTGATTTTTATACGTTAAATCCGGGGTATATATTTTTTTTTTATTAAATATATTTTCTGATAAATCTATTTATTTATCTATTTTTAATAATCAGTATAAGAAAATAATAATAGGAAGGAAAAATATCCTAATTTCCTATCAAGAATATACAGTTTGTGTGTCTTTGAGGAAAGTCTGATTAATGAGAGAATGTAAAAAAAATATGGTGGAATGTTTACAGTAAACTAATTATAGAAAGTTATGCAGTTATTTTTTATATATATATTTATATAATACTAAAGATAATAGTTGTACAGTAGTAATTATTCTAGTCGGGTGATTTTTTTCTGTAATTTTTTCGAATTTCTTGCGATTTTTTCTAGCCAAGACCCCCTTTTTTTAAGTTATTGTGTTAGAAAATATTTATAAAAATTATATATTTACACAAAAAATTTACTGTATTCACTCGAGTAGTAATTGCTAGAGGAAATGCAAATTTGTATATTCAAAAATAAAATATTTTCACATGGTTTAAGACTGTTTAAGACAATTTATAGTAACAATAAGGTCTCTGACCTCTCAAGGACTTTTTTTTTTTTTGTAATTTTTGTGTTTTTGGAGAGCAGAATGACCTCGGTTGGTTTAGAATTTCCGGTTTTAAGCTATTATTAATGAGTAAAATTCGAGAATTTCCATTTGTAACACTATAAAACACTATGTATTTACAGTTGTTTACAATCTAACAAGTAAATGTAATTTCTAGGCTGTCTCCAGCTTTATTAATGAAAACATGCCTTCTATACCTTTATATTTAATAAAATTGGAGCACTTCCCAGTTTTAAAGCTCACCTGAATTTACAATAGGTTTTTGGTTTGATAGGATAAGGCAACTCAACACACGATGGGCCAAATGGGGGGAAAATCTTCCAGAAGGCAGCACTTTCGGAGGAATTTCTACCGGAAGCTGCCCCTACTCATACGTCAGACACGTGAAGAAAACTGCACGTGACAAAACCGTCACTAAATGATCAGTGATTTTATCCATTATAGAGACATAACGACTTTTCGATCACCTTACGCCTTATAAAACATGAATTTTTAAGCATAAATATTATAAATTTTCGAATAATTACGGGTTTTATTAATAGAATTTTCGTCTTTTTTATCCACAGGTACTACGTTTAAAAAGCATCCGCCAATTAAAATACAGTCCATTATCATGAAATCGAACTTTATAGAAAAGGCCGTATCCAAGTATCTTGGAAGATTAGGTGGATGGATAGGAAGACATCCAGTCATCTGTATCGTGGCACCCATAGTAATAACAATAATCTTTAGCACAGCATTCTTTACTATAAAGTACGAAACCAATATCGAATACCTCTACACGCCCATAAACGGTATAAACAGGAGGAATGGCCAATATTTAAAGAACATGTTCCCCAATGACGTAGCTACCAATTTCGAACCCGGTCGCATGACGAGTTTCGGTCAATGGGTATGGATTATTGTGTTGAATAAGGACGAAGGTTCCATGCTACGTACGTCGTCACTCAAACAATTAATTAAAGTGGACGATTTCGTACAAAATATAACCATCAGGAAGGACAAGAGAGTGTACACGTTCGGCGACTTGTGTGCTAAGAAGGACGACGAATGCTACCTCAACCCCATAATATCGGTCGCGAGAATGACTGATCATGTAAATGACGGTACAAAATTTGTAAAATATCCAATAGATCTTGATCTATCGCGTTATAATTATACATATTACGCTCTCAATCTCGGTGGTGTGACGTCTGACGGTGACAAAGTCAAAGCGGCTAAAGCAGTCAGGTTGGTGTATTTCCTGGACGATTCTACCACCCAACGAAACCAGCTTTCCGAGAGATGGCAACTCAAAGTTGTCGACGAATTGCTGAAGAAGGATTTCGAAAACTTAACTGTCACTATGTTTACTACCATGTCCATCGATAGTGAAATGCAACGAGTGGTCGAAGGGCGCTTCTTTCTCTACTCTATTTCGGTGGCCTTCATGGTCATTTTTGCCATTTTAACCACCATAAGTACTGATTGGATCCATAGCAAACCGTGGATCGGTATCTTTGCTACCTTTTCCTGTGGTTTGGCACTAACCACGGGCTTTGGCATATGTATTTATTGTGGAGTTCCTTACATCCATATCAACATCGCTTCCGGCTTCCTAATGTTAGGTAAGTAATTCTCATAATTAAATTCTCAAATTTTACTTTTAAGGACCTCAATTCAGTTCATACACAAGATAAAACTTTGTTTTTACTCTATTACATCCATAAATTTTAATTGGGTTAAATGTAAGTCACACCCGTTTTCAAATTCGTATCCAACTCGTAGTGATGTGAATTCATTGAATACACAAGAAATCTTGTGTATTGAATAGATCCAAATTTACACTTATACATACGTAAATTATAACCCAATACGTCATTCAATTACATCATCTATAATGAATTACACGAGTAAGTAAACTGCAAACAATTACAGTATTGTTAACGAAAATACATAAATGTAATTTAACAATGAAAAAAGGCACTAAGTAGTGTTCTGTGGTAAGTTATTGTTGATAAATAGGCTATACATAAGGAAGCCCACAGTTTATATAATTACGAATGCCAACACTACTTACAGTATAGTTCCTGTTCAATACTACACCTACCTATTGTTTTTTTTTTTTTTTAATTTTATTAGAAAGTTTTTTGACACTAACAATTTTTAAATTGAAAACAATAGAAAATAAATGTTCTTTAAATAATAAATTGCAACATAATATTCAACTATAAATCACAAGAAAATAGATTTATTATGTCTTTGTTTAGTTTTAACGTCTTACACGGGACAAATGATAATAATTTAATTCGATTTTCTTAATTATACTTAGTATTTTAATAAAGAATAAACAAATCAGTTAATAAGTAACGTATTACATTATAAAATGGCTTATTTTAATGTACAAAACAATAGAACAAATAATTAGGAAATGGTAAAATATGGAAGAATAAACGTTAATTTTGATCATCTTTAAATACATAAACAGAATTTTAACAGTAAAATACATCAAATTAAAGATTAAAATCACTATTATTTAATGTTTAAAATAATAAATTTACAAATTATACTCAATAATTTCCTCGACAAGAATGTGAATGATTAGAATGATTAATCTCACGTGCAATTTTTATTGTTTAGGATGACATTGAATAATACCATTTTTGCATGACCAGAAATTAGATTTTAGGTGAAAACACGAAAGAATAGAGTTAAACCCTTATAAAAATATCATAAAAGTTCTTATAGGAAAATTTATATGAAATTTTCATGATTTTTACCATTGAAATGTTAATATGCCACCATTCATCATCCATAAATGTACTTTACTATAATTAAGTCGTTTCAAGATATTTCCTGAAAATTATCATTAAAACTGAAACTTTACAGCATCACTTTATGGTAAAACAATGCTGTAAAATACTACTGATGATGCAACACGCTGCTGTATGAGTTACATCAAACATTTTCGAATTTTCCCTTTTAATAACACGAAAAAAATCAATTTTCTAAAAGAAAATTCATATGCAAATTACAATAATTAAATTTTAATCAAAGAAATTACTACTTTTTATATTAAAATATCTGAATTTTAAATCTGGGGTGAAGTATCTAGTACATAAAAAATTTTTATAAGCAGCATTAAAATTAATTTAAAAGTAATTATTTCCCCTAAATTTAATTTAAAATTTGAACAATCGAGTAAGTTACACATAAAATAATTAATTAAAATCGCTAATTCATCATATTAAATGGATAATTTAATCGTTAAATCCGTCATTTAACTAGATTTATAACTCATTGTCCTAAATAGCAAATTGTTTTTTATTTGGTATTTTTTGAAATATTTCACAATAAATTAATTCAAGTCACATGCACAATAAAATATATCAAAAACAAATCAATAAAGATCTAGAATACATTTTTTAAACATCAAATTTTCTTGTATTTACTTTTATTGTCCCGAATACATGAATTAAGATCTTGTTTTGTTTATCTTTATTTAAATTCATTTTATTCATTTCTGAAGGTTTTGTACAATTATTTATACAAAAATGTCGCTGTACACGTTCAAGAACCCATTTTGTATGGATTAAAATCTGTAATTTCTTGTGGATTTACTTGTTTGAATTATATAAACTGCCTCTTATTACACTTTTATACTTGTTACTGCAACACTTGAACCGTTGTCTGAATTTGTGTATGATCTCCATTTTATCAGTAAATACATATAAAAAACAACATAGTGGTGCCTCGTATAACGTACTTAATCCGTTCCAGGTGCACGTCCGTTAAGTGAAAAGTCCGTTATACGAAACTCTTTTCCCATAGAAATACATGTTAAAACATGTAATTCGTTCCGCAGCATAAAATAACCGTACCATAAAAAAAATGAAAATGGAGCAGTCACCAATTATGCCGGTAGTCAGATGTTGTGAGGAGATGGAGGAACACTTTTTTCACACATTCATACAGATATAGACTTTTTACACATTGCAGCAGGTCTCTTTTTATTGGTTTTTTAATCGGAGTCAGATTTAGAAGAGGCTACCGGAGCTTGCAGGGTCAACTCCTCTTGTTCCATTCTTTGTTTTTTGACAGCTGGCTTCTTGAAAAACATGCCCAAGGTGGTCTGTTTCTCTCTCTTCTTCAACACCTGTCGGAAATGACGGGCAAGGATGTCATAGTAGAGAACACTGATCCTGTTGGCCTCAGCTCTGTTTGGATAATGAGTGTTGGTAAACTCCTGAACCTCTCCCCATTTGACAAGGAAGTTTTTGTCAACTTTCACTCCTTCTGATGATTTCTTGCTTTGTTTCAATTGAAATCACCTTTCTGTTTTTTTAGAAGCTTGAATAAATGTAAATAACCCCCTGCACTGAGGTGATGTACTGCACGTAATAAACAAGAGAGCAAGCCGAATCCCAACGGGAGCTCTGTACTTCAGATATACTAATAATACATTCTAATAATACTAATATATTATAAAAATAGCAGATTGTCATTGGCAACGGCAAACGAGTGGAAACATCATTCTCACTTGTTCGCAGAAAGTCCGTTGTTCGCAGCGTCCGTTATTCGAGGCGTACGTTATACGAGGCACCACTGTACTTTGTTGTATTTAATAAATTCTTAATTTCCCATCATAAATGCCCAATAAATACACTATAAATTACACCATAAACTCCTAAATCTTATAAAGTACTGTACATAATAAATTCTTAAAAGAGTCCATAAAACACATCATAAATTCCCGAAAGACCCAATAAATTACGTCATGAGTGTTGAAAAAAGTGATTTAAATAATTTCCTAAAGATGATACATGGAAAATTTCATTTCGATAGTGATCTAACAAACGAAAGTTATCAACTCAGATCTTTCGAGCACGTAAGATCTGAGCATTAAAATTCATGTTTTACAATTGATGAACACGGTAATTTTATAAAATATATAAATAGTTTTAAAAAATAAATAATAATTTTCTTTAATATGTTTCAGGTATCGGTATGGATGATAGTTTCGTCATACTTTCAGCATGGAGAAGAACGAGCAAAAAGAAATCAGTGGAAGATAGACTAGCAGAAACTTATTCTGAAGCAGCAGTTTCCATAACTATCACCTCTTTAACTAATTTAATATCATTTTTAATTGGAATAATTACACCATTTCCATCAATTCGCATCTTCTGTTTATATACAGCAATCACAGTGGTAGCCACTTATCTATATCAATTAATATTTGTTGGAGGATGTTTAGCAGCTTGTGGTCTAGCTGAAGAAAATAATCGTCATTCTTTCACTTTTCTTCGGATTCCTTCAGAATCTTCATCAAGTAAGTCAGTTGTTTGTAGTATAACACTGTGAATTACACTAACACGAACATATTCCCCTATTGAAATGCGTTGCAAACACACAAAAATTAGAAATTATTCAGAAAAATCCTTGTTTATTGCTTGTAGAAATGTGTTAAGGACATGAGTATAACCTTGAATTTACAATATACCCACATCAATAAGGCAACACTTGTTACATATTCAGAAACAACTCGAACTGTTGACAGAATGTAAGATTTTCCTTTTACTCAAATTCGAATAATTTATTCTTCAAGTCCTTGAGATTGCTGAAGGACTTGGAAGAGATCCAACTTATTTTCATTTGAATTTATTAAATTTGAAACACTTTTAAGAACATTTCAAGTAAAACCACATTTTTTAACGTCTTCAATCAGAAAGGTATGCCGACAAGTTAATCCTAATACATGAAACCATAAATTTCCTTTGTTCAACGAATTTACAATGTTTCTTTGATATATGTATCTCGTCATCTTCGATTAATCTCAATTTTAATTGATTTATACGCAGATTTTTATATATAAAAAAAGCAAACTTGTATTGTAGGGATTTATTCAAGGAAAATTAATAAGAATCTTGTTTATAATTACTTAAAACTAAATTTAAACAAGTGTTTTTCAATTTGATTTGTATACCTCCACTTCTTACATAGCTGGAGTGATTACAAATATACTTTCGTATACAATGTAAGCGTGTGGACTGAATATATTTCTGTAACTAAATCTGTAAGCAAATAATGGATTGTAGAGAGGGATATTTATAATTAAATTCCTTAAATTCACGATATATTTCTATAAATCTATGCAAGATATGATATACAATTTACATAAATAATAGAATGTTATTTGAGCATACGAGTAAGCTAAACAAGCAGCAGCTTAGGGCCTGGCGTTACGAGTCAATAGGCCTGACATTTTTGCACGTGTCATTAATTAACAAAGGGGTAGGGCCTTCTATTTGTTATAGCTTAACAACACGCGTGAAAGTCCAGTCCCGAGTAGAATATTAATAGAAATAAGGTTTTTCTCAGTATCTCATATACTTCTATGATATTTATAGAATTATGTTCTATAAATACATAATTTTTATGGGTTTTATTCACGAATTTCAGTGTTTACTTACAATTACTTAGCGTATAAACGTGCTACAACAGTCGTAATGGTGTAGTTATTCACGTTTTATATAAGCAACCGTTCACGTTCAAAGATGTAAAATTCGTTAAAAAATAATTAAAATAAACATACATTTCGATTTTATTGAATATTTATTGAAGATTTTAATTTTATTCGCAGCACGATAATAATTAATAAGAGGAAACGTAAGCGATTCCTAAATCAGGAATTTTGTCCTTGTCACGTTTGATTTTTCAATCTGTCCTCGTTTATATATACAATAATTTAAAACTTTATCCTTGGATTCTCAAATGTAAAATACAGTATATACATTATAAAACTTGTTATTCAAGTTAAATCTCTACTGCCTTATCAAAGGATAAACAATTTAATTAAAGTTACTGCATGTCTTATGTTGGGCTTTATGTAAATATTAAAGATTCTTATGCTTTCGTGTTATTAGAAAATATTTACATAATTGTTCATGTTTAATTAGCATTTTTAATATAGTTAAATACTAAATAAAGTGTCTTTACTTTTCAGAGAACAGGAATTATTTCTACAAGATCTTCTGTACTGTTAAAGATCGTGAGAACAGTCACGACGTGAAGAATCACTTCTTAATGGTCTTCTTTAGGGATCAAGTCGGTGGATTTTTAACCAAAAAATATACAAAAATTGCAGTAGTTATCGTATTTATTATATATTTAGCCGTTGCAATATGGGGATGCACAATAGTCACGGAAGCCAACGACATAAGGAATTATCTACCCCATCATTCCTACGCTACGGAATTTTTTCATAATTTTAACACGTATTTTAACAAATATAGGGATAGGATACAAATAGTCATCGATAAAGAATTAGATTATTCGGATATTAATGTACAAAACGAAGTGGAAGAGTTGCTACAGAAGTACGAAGCTAGTTCTTACGTGGGGGAACCCATATTGACAGAATCGTGGTTACGTTATTACTTGATCTTCTTGAAGGATAAAAGAATGGCACACATTGTTAAAAACTTTAATATCACTTCAAAACAAGACTTTTTAACTATATTAAGAAGAATATTTCTGCTACACCCCTCGACGAGACACTTCAAGGATGATATCATCTTCAATGACAACTACACGGAGATCGTTGCCAGTAGATTCCTCTTGCAGACTAACATCACCACCATCGATCACACAGAGAAATACATGGTACAAGAACTCAGGGATATCGCTGCCAGTGCTTCATTTCCAGTACTAGTATTTTCACCCGTTTTCAGTGTCATCGATCTAGTGTTCGTAGTGGTACCCACCACCATACAAACCACCAGCATTGCCGCTGCTGTGATGATAATCGTGTGCTTTATCTTCATACCAAACTTATCGTGCGCCCTGTGGGTGGCTGTTTCAGTCATCTCGATAGAAATCGGTGTCGTGGGTTACATGGCACTGTGGAACGTCTCGCTGGACGCTACCTCCATGGTAATATTAGTGATGTGTATAGGATTTTCTGTGGATTATTCTGCACACATATCGTACTGTTACATCAAAGCCAAAGGTGATATGCCGGACGAAAAGTTAAAAGAAGCTCTATACGCAGTGGGCATGGCCATTTTTCAAGCTGCCTTCTCTACGTTAATAGGTGTGGTTTTTATTAGCTTGGTACCGGCCATGACTTTCTTCATACTGTTCAAGGTGATATTTTTAGTGGTATCCTTCGCATCTTTACACGGTATGATATTTCTACCCGTCTTCCTCTCCATCACCGACCAGATAATTCTACGCTTTAATAGTGGTAAAGCAACAATTACAAATAACAAAAGTCTAAGTGACGTTTTTAGTAGTGAGAAAGGACAAGTGATATTATCCAGAGCTAATTGGATAATGAGTACCAACACGTGCCATTCTGGCCCTTACATCAATCACCCTATAGCTGGTCCTCAAGTCAATCTGGCCTTTGTATCCGATAGGTGATAATTGACATGTGACGTCACAAGTACATATATATATATATTTAAATGTAACAATCGAGTAATAATCCATGTATATAAATATATATAATAGACCTTAAATTTTATGTGCTGGTCACGTGTAAGCACTTACGATACATTAATGAATCTCTTTCCAATCTCGTTTCCTATTTTAACATTAATTTTAGGTCAACTCAGGGCCAGCAAAAGCGTGTTTTCTTGAAAATAGACACGATTTCATGAAAAATCGAACTGAAATTTATTACTTTTCATGCTCATGTCACAACAATAACGAATGTATTTCGCAGACGTTACAGAAAATGGTCATCAGAAGTACCTGAAAGATGAAGCGAAAAGACGATTTAATGAGCAATATAATTATATGTACTTATTTATACATTCATGTGCAACAAGCTAACGATCGTTTTAATTCGGAAAGTTTCAGTTGAGTGCAATTCTATATTTAGTCCAATTTAATTCTATATATTTTTTTAAATACAGCATCAACTTTCACATCATTATAAAAAAAATCAACATATTATTTTAAAAAAATATTAAAAAATAAAGTTTTTTCGTAACATTATTTTCTATAAACATTAAAAAAAAAGTATATGGCACTAAAAAAATTCAAATATTTCTTCTTTATCAAGCGTGATTTTTCATAGATCGATACGCAGCGATGGGATATTAACTTGTGACGTCACAAGAATTGTAACCAATGTTCAAATTTAGTAACAAACAATTCGTGTGCCATATTCTCTGCCAATGTATACACAACTTCGCCAAAAAATAAAAAAAAAATAAATATAAATAAAAATATGTATTATCAGAAAAACAGATTGATTTGTGTACATTTATATGAGTATGAAGGGAATTTGTTCCCGTACTCGTGAAATTTTGGAGAATTTCAATTGCTGTTTCATGAAAAATTCCTATGAGTGTGTTTTCGGTTAATATCACGCGATTCTATTAACTCGATTTTTTTTAACGAATGAATCAGAAACTAATTTATGTATCTTCATCATTGTAGAACGGGCATCACCATGATTATTGTTATAAACGCTGTTACATAGTTATTAGTGAATAAAGATTAATTTTTAAAAAACTGTGTACAGAAAACTAATCGTAATTAAAGGTATATTTTTCTATAAAATATCCCTCACTTTGAAACAATTATCTTGTAAACACGCAAGCTTTCTCGATGCTCTTCTGGAAGAACTTAATGACTTAAAGCAATTTAGCATAAAACTGTATATTGAAATGTTATTGAACTTAATGGCAATGAACTTATATTCTTATACCTATATTTCTGTTACACTAACCAAGCTACGGACAGATGCCATACCTGCCATTTTATGTCTTGGTTAGTGTAACCAAAAATATAGTTACAAGGATGTAACTAGATAGGCTGATGGGTGTTTTCTTAGTAGTATTCCATATACATTATTATATCAAGCGAAATATAGGTTTATAGGCTAAATAGTAACCAAAAATAAAGTCTCATAGGACGTAGATACATTATTAGAGAAGTGACTAGAACTTCAGTTAGTATACACCTACACAACACCTTTACATTATGGCTAAATCCTCTACAAGGAACAATACTTACACCTTAAAAGTAGAACCTTTACAGTTCATGGTTAAGGTGTTAGATTTTTCACAAAATATTCATAAAACTTCAAGAAATAGTGCCATCTAGTGAGAAATAAATTTCTAATCCTGTTTTCTAGGTTAAATTTCCGAAGTGCAACGTCACAACTACAGAATTATGTCAAGCCCGTGACGTCATTCACTTTCGTAACGGAATTTCCCCGATATAATGTCACTTTCGTAAGATATGAATCATCCGAGTGAATTTATCTGATTATTAATATTTGAATCGGAGATAAAACGTATTTAAGAAATTATAAAGGTATCCGAATGGGGAATTTCTTTCATGTATTTAGTATACGCCATTTTTAAATTAATCGCTGCGGTAGTTTAAATATTTAGAACAACCTAAATACTTGCTACTCATTAAACGAACAATAACTTTAATAAAAATATTTATATTATACTTTTATGCTGTCGTTAATAAGAGGAATTAAATAGCAGCATTAAATAAGTTAAATATAATTTACATTATTTATTAAATTCTTATTATAACAGGTGTTGAAGACACCTGTTATAATAAGAATTCATTATTGCCTGTGGTCTTGTTTAATATACATCTAAAACACCTACGCTTTATAATTATCCCTCTATAACCTATAATAAGTTATAGAGAAGTACCACGTACCATATAGGTAAACGTTTTACATTTTTCACGAAATATTTATAAAATTTCACGATGCCAGTGTTGTTTAATATGGTATAAGTCAATAATTCTTGACATCATTCTCAATATTAATATAGACAATTGCTAGATAATGTTGATTAATATCCTATTCCTAGAATTAGCATGCAAATCATAATAGTACAGGAATAGATACAGAATAGGAGCGGCTCATCAACACTTCCTTACTGTGGAGTAGGCTATAATGACAATTTAAACATTCAAACCAGTCATAATTTATTAATTACACTCTCTTACTTTCCTCTAAACTTTATATAAATAGCATCACTAATTTAAGCATAAGTAATGTTACATATTTGCTATGTGTAAGCTTCAAATTAATAAGATTTGAAGCTTACACATGCAACAACCTGTAAGGAAACAATTGCCTATATCCGTTACGGTATATTACTCGTTTTTCTGAATAATATCCTGTAATTTAAATTAATAATCGCAGAAATATTCCATTTCATTAATGCTCTCAAGGAAGAATTTATAGTCCTCATTATGAAGCAATATATTTCCATAATTTGTGAATACAATCTAGACAAGCGGATAATAAAAATTTTTATTTTTTATAATATTTCTTATAATAAGAATAGAGCCGATGTGCTGGATCAGAAACGTATATCACTCCGCGCCTTAGACAAGCAAGGAAAAGACTTCAAAACGTAAGGCGCAAAGAAAGGGGAAACCAATCACATTATCTGTTTCAAATAAAGCGGGTAATGTGATTGGCTTGTTTATCCGTCTTTATTAAAGCCGCTTTATCAGGCAATGCGCCCGTAATGTTTGATTTTTCGTAAAATCTTCGAAAATTCAAGCATATGTCGTATGACTTATATTTGTTGTATGATTTCAGATTTCTTCAAAAGTGTCCTACTTCGTAAACACAAAATTATTTTCCTTCGTGTATGTAGAATAACGAACATTGTCTCCATTCTTCTTCCGAGAAAGACTATAGACGTTTTTATTGAAAATATAATGGTGGAAACTGTGAGGAGAACACTATGTATGTCTTATAATCTCTAAAAACTACAGAAGATAATATATTGATAAAATCTGGAATCGAAGTACAAACTCTTTGTTATTTATACTGTATTTAAAAAACAATGTTATATATGAGATTTATTCATATTAACTGTAGAAAAATATGAATTTTATGACAAGTTTGAACATGCCAAAATTTCAAATGACGTTTAACAATGGAAATTTGAATAATCATTGCAATCGACATATTGGGGATTCGATACCCAGGTAGCGCCATCTGTGAGCCATTGGTTTCTTTCTCTTCTATTGATTTGAGTTTCAAAATATATTATTGTAATGGCAGGAAGTAGATAGAGTGGGACAAGTAAGGCCATTTGACTCTGTTACTATCTAGTGACCAGTAGTTAAAGTTAATATAGTTTCCCCCATCTGCTCGTCTTCTTAGATAGTGCCACCTTATTTTAAGGATAGGGATTATTAAGCAGAATTCCAAGGAACAGAGGGAACCCAAAATTTTACTTTTTATGTAAAAGAGGAACATTTACGATGGGTTGGGCGTTATCAATTCTCATTTCATGCAATGGCAATGGCAGTAAATTTACAGTTCTTAAAATTAAATTCTGAGGAATTATACAGGTAAATTATACAACGTTAAGCTGTATAATTATCTAGACAATATTTTGCACGAATTCTTTTATGGTTGCGAATTTAAAGGATTGTTCATCACGTGAAGCCACCATTGACTGTATTCTGTTCACACGTAAAAAATCTGACATCGGAAATAAATGATAAAAATTAATAAATTTATTTAAAATTATATATTTATTTATTTTAATAAAATTCAATCGAATTTCTATTGTTTGCAAATTGTAATTACTTATCCAAGGTTACTATTATTATTAATCACAGTCACTTGTTTGACAAGATAAAGATTATTGTATAATCAGCAATTCTAAATGGAACTAAAAATAAATTTATGCCAATTATTATTTATATTTTTAATTCCTTCTTGAATTATTCCTGAAAACTGAATTGATTGCACGCTCTGCTAATGCAAATCTAGTTAATTAATTAAGGAGGTAACTGAAAAACCTACACGTGCATGCAAATACAGTTATATTTAAAGACTTTAATGTATATTTCATTTATTTTTAGAGAAAATATTCAATAATTTTACAGTAGCACGAATATGTATCATCTGCGTATTCAGATTTTTATATCACAAAGGAATAAGGATATATAAGAAACTTACAGTGCGTATACATACTCAAATCTCAAATACGTGGACACAACAATATAGATTCATAGCATGTGGATATGGATAAATAATAATAATTACACACGAAAAAATGAATAGAAGGACGTAATATATTGAAGGGTAGTGGTTATCTATTTTTTGAGCTAGAGGCATATCCACCAGCCATTGTTGCATCAAAGAGGCTGTTAAATGTATGAAAAGTGACGTTGAAGTGTTGCATTTATTTATATTAAAAATATGCAAATAATATTTAAAAATAAAGAAACAATTATCATTTTAAGATTATTTTTAGAAATTTTGGGATTTTAGATGTAGTCTAAGGGATTTTAGATGTAGTCTTAGATGTAGTCTTCGACTACTCGACAGAACGGGAAGCATATAAAAACTTATCATAAATTACTAAAAATCTCTGCAGATATTGCATTATCAGATGCAGTTTTAAGTGTATGCAATCTAGGCTTTAGTCTCCAGACTCGCGCTTTTAGGGGTTTCAGATGCGCACAAATCCATGCATATTGATAGTACGTCTACTAAATCGTACTAAAAGTATGCGTATATGTCTTTTTAGATCTAGCTAAGAAAAAAATCTACTCACAAACATCGTATTCCTGGTTTCCTCCAAACGATCATCATCTGGTTAGGCCAGTGAATGCTTATCTATAAATCATTTTCAATCATTTATCGGCGAGCAATGGACACAGAAATGTTAATAACAGATAGACAAACAGAAGAATTCCAATATGCGAATGTCCATGTGGATAAACGAATTTATGAATTTGATTGAAAAAATATACTCACCAAGAAAGGCATTGGAATCAAATGAAGCATTAGTGCAAGCGTAATGACGATGGTATTAAGTGATTGATTACGACATCGGCAAAGAAACCATTTCCGGTAAAACAACGTTACAATTTAAGGGAACATTTAGAGTCTTCCCTTTTATGGATACGTGCGGCGATACGGTCGGGTATGGAGGCATACATACATTATATGCCATCCTGCGACAGATTTGTCCACAGATGTTGTAACTGCTGCTCCAGATTCCCCGAAAGTAAAAATGTAAACATAAATCCAGATACAGACAGATAAGCAATTTAGAAACATAAATATACAATTATAATATATTTGGAATCTACGTATGATTATAATAGTAATCATACATAAACTAACACGAAACAGAGCAAATATATATATATCCTATAGAGGTACAGAGACGTCTACGTAACTGTACAGTACATCTATTCG